CTTTCCACCGAAAAACGTTTCGCTCATAAGCGGCAAAGGTAATATCGGTTTATTATTGATATGCATTTTACAAGCTTGAAAATGAGCGTTTAAACGAAATTTTTGGTTCCGTATTACCGGAGAACCGCTTTGTTTTGCAAATTACAACGCAATTTGTCGCCGGCAGTGAGAACCGCGGCGGCATGTCTTCGGTCACGTCTGAATGAATTTGCTCTCGTTTGCGAGATGGAAGTCGATTAAAAAATTATTTGAAGTGATTTGTTACCAACCGATCGCTAAGCTTTTCGTTGGATTAGTTTATTTAAGGTTAACAATCAGATACTATTAAACTACAAAGAAATACATAAGAGTTTGTTTGAATTTGATTGACCGTGCGCTTGTCAAAACAACAGACGATATATATTGTTATGCAAATACACGCCATTACGCGGGCTTATAAATAACTGAGTCATACGCGTGGCTACTCACTTATTCTCATCACTGTAAACACACTTGATCGTCACGTTAACTAGTTTATTAGCTGTGAGCCGTGATACATGATGGAGTTTGCCGTTGGTGCTTCTGTTGAAGCTGTCGATCAGCTCGGTATTTGGGCCAAAGCCAAAGTTATTTCAGCATCCGAAAATTCGGTTGTTGTGACTTTTCCTCCATGGAGATCGGAGTGGGACCGCGAGATAAGTGACCTTTCCGAAATCAGAAAGGAAACGATCGAAGAAACGCTGATCCCGCGCCGTCTTGCACAAAAAAAGGTAAGAAGTTATTCAATGTTAATTTTGAGTTTTTTCATTTCCTTTTCCTTTTTGACGCTTATAAGTATCTCACGCAAGTTACTTTTTGCCATCAGAACCCGAATCTCAAGAAATTGTTCCACGGGGACGTTGTTTACTTGAATGGCAAAGCAGCAAATGTTCTCCAGTCAGATCCTATCAGGAAATCGGTGAGTTTCAACTCTCTGTAGCAGCCGATTTATTGTTTACATAACTTTACATCGAGTGTCAGTGGTCATGATCATACTACTAATTCTCCTTACCAG